GGAAGTGGAGGTTGCAGTGAGCCGAGATCTCACTATTGCACTCCAGCCTGGGCAACAAGAGTGAAACTCTGTCTCAAAAACAAAAACAAAACGAAACAAAAACACCCACTGTGTGGCAATGGAGAATGGCCTGGAGGAACAGACTAATTATTGAGGGACCGTTGTTATCCAAAGACCATGACTCTGATGGTGCCAGTCTGCAGACTTGATGATGTTCCCTGCAAGTAATCTATGACCTGGGTACAGAAGTGGAGAAAAGGGTTGGGCTGACCCAGGGTACTGTCCTGGCTCCCGGGCTGTCTCTGACCTAATTTTCCAGGGCATTGGCCCTGCCGCCTTGGTGCCGTCCCTCATTCTCCTCAAACTTCACTGTCTTCCGTAGCTTATGTTTCGTAGTCAGTCCATTGCTATAATCTCCCCCTTACACCCTCCCTCAGCTCCCTTAGCTTTACTCCCACTATGACGAATCCTTGCAAAACCTCAGCCTTGGTTAAATCCAGCTCTCTGCTAAAAACCCATTAGGCAGACGCTGAGGCTGCCAGCCCCTCCCCCACTCCCTTGGCAGAGTGATCCCCTATGACTTGCTTTTCCTTGTAAGACTCCCCTTGGTGGCGGGGCACAGTGGCTCACACCTGTAATCCCAGCACTTTGGGAGGCCGAGGCGGGTGGATCACCTGAGGCTGGGAATTCAAGACCAGCCTGACTAACATGGAGAAACCCCGTCTCTACTAAAAACATAAAATTAGCCAGGCGTGGTGGCATCTGCTTGTAATCCCAGCTATTCAGGAGGCTGAGGCAGGAGAATCGCTTGAACCCGGGAGGCAGAGTTTGCGGTGAGCTGAGATTGTGCCATTGCACTCCAGAGCCTGGGCAACAAGAGTGAAACTCCACCTCAAAAAAAAAAAAAAAAAAAAAAAAAAAAAAAAAAAAAAAAAAAAAAAAAAACAGATTAGCAAAAAATTGCAATTTAATTCCACAGTTATTGTAATTGAGGAATCTTAGAGATTGCCGAGTCTGTCTAAGAATCAAGAAAACTTCACGGTGAAGTTAGTACTGGAGCTGAGACTTGAAGGATGAGTAAAAGTTCTAAGAAATACAACATGAGGCCACGGAAATACCAGAGATGATTAAAAACAAGGCCGGGCCCGGTGGCTCGTGGCTATAATTCCAGCACTTTGGGAGGCCAAGGCGGGCGGATCACCTGAGGTCGGGAGTTCGAGATCAGCCTCACCAACATGACAAAACCCTGTCTCTACTAAAAATACAAAATTAGCTGGGTGTGGTGGCGCATGCCTGTAATCTCAGCTACTTGGGAGGCTGAGGCAGAAGAATCAT